CCCGCAACTCTTCACCATATACATTTGTTTTAGTGATTGCTGGGCACATTTTGTTCAAAGTGAATTCAGACAGAAAAGAGTAAGGAACATCACAAAGGCCTCAACAATGTAAGTATGCTGGTTAAAAGAATAAAAGAAGCCCCTTGTACTGTTAACTAAAAGTAACTATAATATTCACAAGATAAAAGTTTAAAATAATCATAAAGTCTCATATGGCTGAATTAGTTGAGAATATAAGACAATAAAATCTCAACAGTTCTTTAGCTAAGTTTATCTAATATCACATCTTCTCTGCTTTTTGGGATGGGAAAATGGGAATGGAGGAGTAGAAAATGGCTAAATTGAGAAACAAATGATAACTTAGTATATTTCCCTTAATTTTTTTTCTTTCTGGTTCATTTAAACAAATCAGGGTAAGTTTCCAAAAGGGCCCATCCCTCTGTTCTTAGGCATTTAAAAACCCTGTCTTTAACAGAAGTTTGGGACACAGGGTATATGCCATGTTGTCTACTGACCCATAATCAAAATGCAGTGACCTTCTACCCTTTTTTTGCCCCCTGACCCATCTTGAATTCAATGCAGCCTTTATAAATTTGCAAATCCTTGGAGGTAAAGGGGTTTTTGTGAGGCTTTGTTCTGAAAAAGCCCTAAGAGTGTGCTCTCTAAATTAGACAAAGGTAAAGCAACAAATCCTAGTGGATGAGACTTTACACAGGTGAGCAATAGGCACCTCCAGATAACATATAGTGCAAGCTAAAAACCAGTTATATACATAGGAGACAAGGAGGTTATGGATTGCATCAAATTAGAGTGAGGTACAAATCACTTTCATGATGTAAGAAACAGTTAGGCTACAATCTTCCTGCTCTTCTCATCTCAAGGGCTGTGGGGGACCCTAGTGACCAAGGAAGGAATGGGGAGGGTGGGGGGAAGGGGACAGGGAGGAAAAGAAAGAAAGGAGTGAGACTTGATCTGAATCTGCAAGCACATTCCCTTATCTTTCCTGCTATCAGCCAGTTTAAAGGACACCATAATTATGATGGTGATAAAACAATGCCTGCTTATGTGTGCTGAATAAATAAAGAATGTTTACAGCTCAAGAATCTTTTAATTCCAATTAAATGCTATCAAAGAAAAGCCACTTTTCCTACTGCAACCGCCTTTCCCCCCAATTATCTTGTTTTGTTGCAATATTTTCCTATGAGACACAAGGGCCTTTCACAATTCATCCTGAATGCAAAAGAAAAAAAATCAGAGAAAGTAGAGTTTGACCTTCAGATATTAAATAATACACAAATACCCAGAACCACAATTTGTTAGGGTTGCCCAAGTTTTTGTTTATTTTACACAAGGGCCAAACATGTAGAGACTGAAGTGGTGACACCAAGCATTGAGGCCTACCTATGGGCTGCTCAGCCATACTGAAATCCTGAGCCACCACGAGGGGAGAGAGGAGAGACAAGACATGAGGAGCCTGATGGTCTCTGGAAAGGGAATCCTCTTCTGGTTCTGTTCCCCTGGCTTCAGCCCAAATCCTTGTAGGAGCACTGGAGCCAATCACTGTCTTTCACTGCTGCAGCTACTGGGAACCTACAAAAAAGCGGGAGATTAAAAAAAAAGAAAAAAGAAAAATAAACAAAAAAATCACAACTTCGAATTTATGGATATACAAGTATCATTTCATATTCATGACATCAGCAGATCACATCATAATCAGATTTGAGCAAGGTTTGGGCACTAATGCCCAAAAAGCTGGACACTCAACACTGACAGTATCACATATTAACCAGAAAATTCGCTTTTTTATTATGGAATCATAGGGTGAAAATTAAGTCTTTTAACTTTGAAAAGCTTACTTTTCACTTCTGAGGCCAATTTTTACACTAATAAATTTCAAGTAAACGTCTCCTTTAAAGTTGTTCCACAACATTTTAATTCAAACTTCTACTTCCTTTCTCAGTTGGGGTAGTGTTTTGTTTGTTTTAAAAAAAACACATGGCACAACAAACGTTAGGGAAAACGCACTCATTCCGTTAAATGCCGATACAAACCTGCCTTTTACTCCATCTGTCTAAGCAGCGCATTGCTAAGTATAAAGTTAAAAAAATACTTTTCTCAAAGACATATCTATTATTTATTGGCAAATACTGTTTGGTAATGTGGTGCAAAAACACAATGGTAAAAAATCTCGGGATATTTGTAAGTTTTCTGGAGAGTTGCAGGCCCCTTTCCTTTTGAAAGTTTAGAGCTCCAATATCCTCAATTCTACTGGCAGAATTAGGATGGACTTAGAGGGTCCTAAACGTGACCGATTCACTAAGGCGGGGGTGGGGGGTGGGGGGGGGCTACAGCTTGCAGCAACGTGCTCGGCAACTTAATCCTACGCTAAAAGAGGGCAGAGAGCGAAAAAGAATGGAATACAAACTCTCCCGACATCCATAGTTACTTTCAAGGTGGATTGTGTATTTTAAGGCTGATGGGAACGTCTGGTTTTTGGAGCAAAAAGAAGAGAAGGTAAGTGTTTGTCCTTGTATCCACCAGTTCGTAGAGAAACAATGAAAGAACAAAGGGAACCACTTCCCCATCTGAACATTTTCTGTATCTCCCTCCGTTTCAAGCCAAAAAGCTTGGGAAGGGATGCGCTTTACTCTACCTTAAGTAGTGGTTGCTGGCTTGTTGAACTAAGAATGAGAAAAAAGTTGAGAGGCAGATATAGACTAAATAACAATAAAAAAGGCTTGCTGTGGCGGATCTCCACCGCGCCAGTCTCAGCAACTTCCAGAAGTTGCTCAATGCACGGAGGCAAAGCCCAAGGAATACCCTTTGCACACCAGATTTCGAACTCAGTCATTTAAATAGTCTTTCTTGCTGTTTGAAGGGGTTTCTGCGCACAAAATGTGTAGGTAGTGGCTATGGGAGAGATGTACTATCTAGGTCGAAAAATGAGCTCATGGCTATCTGGAAAAGAATTTTTAAAAAGGAAAGGGGATTCAAGTATCACGTTACTGTTTGCTAATAGAAGATATGGCAGCTCTGGCTGGGAAAGGAGAGGGATTCGTACTGAAATGCATTTGCTTTGGGGCACGCTGGTTATCCGCGTTCTGGCTTTGTGGGTCTGCGTGGCTGAATAAGTGACCGAGTGCCTTCGGCATTATATAAATGGATCGATGTGTGGGAGAGTCCCCAAAGCCGTCGAGCACGTGAAACGCGATTTTTTACTGCCCTCCAAGCGGCGACCAAGCCCCGCTCCACCCCAGCCCACCTCAAAATCCGTATATTACCTGCCCTGTTACAGTGACACATGTTTATGTTTATAGCCCTGGTTTGTAGTAGTGTCAAGAGCCGCAGCAAGAGGAGGGGGAGGAGAGAGGAGAGGGAGGAGTAAATTCAACCACCCCCACTTGTTGTTAAAGCAAATTTACTGCGTTATTGCAAGCTCGGGACGGGGGGCTGGGATGAGAGTTGAGAGGAAGGGTTGAGTTGGGAAGTGTGTTGGCGGTGGAAGGAGGGGTGGGGTTAGGAGATCCGCAATGGAGCTCCTCTCCCCAGCAGCCCAGGAAAAGCAGCTCGGTCAATAGGGGAGCATGCTGGCGCGGTTGAAAACAAAAAGGTTCCTCCTGCTCGCTGCGTTCACGTGGGGGGCTCTGCTCGCGGGGCTCCAGGGCCCTGACCTCTGACCCCGGCTCCTCTCCGCGCTCTCCCGGTGCCGCGCGGCCACTTTTTACCCAGGATCCCTCGCGCGGGCCGCGCTCGTGCCGAGCTGGAGTCCTTCCTAATCCTCCATTCCCGGCTCTCCGTCCCCGCCCCCGCCCCCG